ATGACTACAGTAAAGCATCTAATGAAATGTCATCTGTAAAGAAAACAGAGAAGATCATCTGTCATCATCATCATCATCACCATCAACAACAACAAACTTCAAGTAGTAACTCCATCATTATCGTCTTAACAGGGTTTCCTTAGTTGATTTCTGCTGGTTTTTAGTTGATGTTTTGCTGTGCATCTGTCAATTCTATCTGCTGCCCACACTCATTCAAAGCACGAGATTATTCTCCATACTGTTTTTACCGAGAGTTTTGATTGTCTTGGGTTTTCTTTAAGGTTTACCTGGGAACTTACTATGCCCCACAATTTAGCAGAATCTCCACAGACAGTATTAATTATGTTATACTACATGTGGGATTTGCATTAAACTCTCTTTTACTAAGGAAGAGTTGTTGCATTGTACTGAATAATATTAATTATGTTATGCTATGTATGTGCTTTTTATTAAGGTGGTGGTGGTGTTACACAGCACTGTCTTCTAAATCAGTCAACCGGAATCTTCTGACTTCAGCTGTGTCTGTCTGTAGAAAATTACCACAGTTGGGCTTTTAGACTTATAATGCTCCTTCTTAGAAGGAGGGTGTGGGAAGAATGATTGAACCTCACCCAGCTACTCCTCCAAGCCAGAAGTACTCAATTCTACCCTAATTGTACATGGCCTTGAGATCTTTCAAAGGAGCTAGAGTATATAGGTCAGGGAAAACTAGGGAGAGGGGGGCTTTACCTATTTGGCTGTAAGAAGCAATCATGCACACTGAGTTAAGGCTTTCTAGTATGGTTGCTTTTAGATCTCCCTTGCTCCTGTCAATAACCCCTTACCCATGTTCTGCAAGTAAGTCCAATAAATTCATTTGTTCTTCAGGGTGAACATTCAAAAGAATTGAACATTTGTTTGTCACTGGAACCTTACAAGGTTCTCAACAAAATCATTGTCACAACAGATGGTAAAAACAATGATTCATGTATGAAGATTAAGATGGTTGGATGTTCCTAGAATGGGAAACCCTATACAAATTACACATGGCTGAGTAAGTTATTTAAGATGTGTAAAAGATAAGACTTAGTGATGATATAGATGATCTTAAAATTTCTAAGATCAAAAGTCAATCAAACCTCTATTCCAGTCTTCTGTTCTTGGTAACAATTGTAACTGACTTAAGGAACAAAGGTGCATATCTAATCAATGTTTGCCTAAAAGTTTGAATTTTGTCCAACCTTCTTCTAAATACAACACAATGCTCAGTAGTCTTGACTGGTGTAATCGACCTAGGTATTCAACAATAATACTTTGAGATCTATACTAATGGGGGCAGAGGGATTTAAAAGGGACATCATTTTGACCCTTGTTCTCCAAGGTCAATGAGGTCTCAGGGGACTGTGGAGAAACTCTTGAGATGTCCTGTAACAATGGAATGTCACTTGCTCTCATTCAGGGAGGTCGTGGAGACCACATTGGATGGACTCTCACCAGTGTCCAGTCTACAAAGAGGAAGGTCAAAACAGAGGGAAAACCTCCTCAGCACTTCCAAATAAGGCCATGATCAAGCAAGGCCTTTGACTTATCCTCACAGATAGAGCAACTGGGAGAGGAAGGCAGAGGAATGAGAGGCCTTCTCAAACCCAAGTGATATCTGAGGAGCAAATCCTCAACTGACTTTTACAATAAAAAGAAAATGATTAATGTTGTCCATTAGACAGTCTTAAACACCCAACAGAAAGTCTAACTTAAGATGAAAATGATGGTCTTTTAAACAATCCGCAGGATTATTCTCCCCAGACATCAAGCTTAAATCCATATGAGATGTTAGTTAGACAGTTGTTTCTAATGACTTTCTTCATGATAAAAATAATGCTACTCAGATATAAGAATTTAGAAAAGTAATATTAAACCTTCTTAATGCCCTTTAATATAGTTTCTCATGTTGTGGTGACCCCCAACCATAAAATTATTTTGTTGCTACATCATAACTCTAATTTTGCTAATATTATGAATGGTAATGAAAATATCTAATATGCAGGATATCTGATTTGTGACCCCCAAAAGGGTTATGACCCACAGGTTGCAAACCACCTCTTTAGACTCGGGGTCAGTTCAACACTACAGTGCCTACCTGCAACCTAAAAATTGGATGATGACTAAATTTCTTCTCTCTCTCTCTCTCTCTCTCTCTCTCTCTCTCTCTCTCTCTCTCTCTCTCTCTCTCTCCCCATCTCTTGAAGCCATCTACGAGGTACCTCACACTGTCATTCTCATCACTCCAACAGCTGTCAAAGTGAGCTCATCACTTAGAATTCAAAAGATGATTCTTGAGAGCCTTTGATTTAAACATTTTAAACCTCCTTTGTCTGGCTTCCTCTCTTCCCTGCCTAGAAATCAGAATGCTGATAACTCTTGCCTTTACTTCTCCTTCACATCTCTCTCCAGGCACAAATCAGTAACTTCCTTTCATCTGTATATCTGACATTTGTACAAATCAAACCACAGAAACACTTTTGGGGCCTTTGGAGGGGTACACAGACTGTTACACCTGATGCTCCCATTCAATTAGAAGAAGCTAGAATGTTACCACCCAGTTCCATATCGGCAGTTAGGGTTATCTCTTCAGGAGGAGGAATGATGAAAATGAGAGGTAGAAACGTGTTAGGGCAAAAAGACCCCAAAGAAAAGCAAGCAGTTTCTTTCTTGGCTAAAACCTAAACTTGGGCCTCTTGGCCCTCTCATTTTTGCCAGAGGACAAAGAACTTGGGGCCTCTGCATTTTTACCTGGTTCCTAAGTGACTTTTGAGATTACCTCTGTGGAGTAGGGGATATTAGAATAGTCATAAAGGTTTGCCAAAGGAGAATGTATTCTGGTCAAGAGAATTGAATCTCTGACTTGAGTGGACACCTTAGATTCTTTCAAAGGTATTTAAAATTACTTTAAAAATACATTAAAAATGGCTTGGGTGAGGTTGATTAGTGTTGCATTGCCTGCTCTGAGAGCAATTGGAGGCTGTTCAGGTGCTTATCATAGGAAAATGAGGAAATAAATTGTGGTAGATATTATAGTCTGCAATGCTAAGTGTAAAGTAGTGGCTACCCATAGCAACATGGCAAGACCGTAATAGTGGGTGGAAAAAAAAGAAAGAGAACTGTTTCAATGAGATAAAAATAATTGCACACCCTAAGCAATACTATTTGTCTTAGGAGAACACATGCTTAGAAATGAGTGTTAAACACATATGTGACTTGTATAGAATAGTGATTATGCACATTGGAATATGAAGTCTGATGAATATAAATCTTTTACCTGAGATGACAAAAGTCTCCCTGCCCCTTAGAGGTTTGTATTTTAAAGATTGCATTCCCAGATGTAGATTTTAGGGACCAGCCAACAAATGGGAAGTAGATTCATTCATTGAAAATCTATTCATGATCTGCGATATGCTGAGTACTAGCCTAGGTGGTACAGGGAGGGAAGCAGCTATATCTCACCTTCAGATTGGGGATAGATCCTGTTAGCTCCTCTTGGCAGAGATCCAGCATCATCCATGAGTACAGTCTGGGAACAAGATGATGATGTTACCTTTTATCTGGGGCGACTTTGAGTTTCATGAAGAGACCACTGTTGTGATTAGAAATTATTCAGTACATATGTATCTTGCTTTTATTTTCACAGGGGCATCTCTATTCTACATCTGCATTCTAGCAGCAATCACTGTTGATGTTCTCTCTGCAACTGTTGGGAAACCTACATACAGCCCCAGATTGCATTTTAGTTTTAGTGAATCTTAGTCACACTCATGAAATCCCTGTATGCTAACACTGATGTTAATGGTCTGTCCACTGGTGAATATGACATATGGGACTTATGCTACTATTAAAGACTGTTTTGCAATTTTCTGTCCTTTTCTCTCCTCGCAGTTATTTATTCCCTACCCAGAGACAAGAGTGAAGTTAGTAAGGAGAGTCAGGTCAAACGCCAATTGAAGAAGAGCCATGGAGACAAATCACCTCTATTTTCTGTGAGTTTGAGGCCAGCCTGATCTACAAAGCAAATTCCAGGACATCCAGGAGTATTACATACAGAAACCCTGTCTTGAAAAAAAAATCAGAAAAAAAGGTTGACTGGATTGTTCACGACCAATATTTCCAAACTTAAATTAATCCTAGTTGTTATTTTATGAGTACATTCTTTATATTTCCATGTACCAAAATTGTTTGCTCACTCAGAAACAGTCTCAGTATGAACACGTCTGTGAGAATGGAACCTGTGAGAAAACAGTTATTTTGGCCAACACTGTTACTTTTAAAAACTAGTTGTAGTTAAGCATTCTGTATACTAAAAAATGGGATAAAATTATTTGAACAATTGAAACAATCTCCAGTTTTTTGTTATTGCTTATTTGGAAGCACAGAATATAGGGCATGTGTCTTTTATTTCTGGTCACTTCTAAATAGATAAGAATCTATGAAGCTGAAAGGAAAATGAGTCCGTAACCAAAATGCTGACTCAGTTACTACAGGAGATCAAAGGCAATTATACTCAATCGGAATCTACTACAACAAAGCAATTGTTTTCTTTGAAAAACATGTAGAGTTTAGAAGATTTCTGGGATTTGTCTGCAAAAGCACCTTCTGGGCTCATACCGTGACGTTTTAGGAAAGGCTTCACGTCTCAAGGTGGGAAGGCTGGGAGGTGGTGTTCTGTGGCCTCCTATGGTGGTTAGGAAGTTCTCAGAAGACAGAACTGGAAATTAGATAATGTCTGATGTCATATGGTTTAGATACCCCAAAATCGGGTGTCCTGATGGCTATAAAAGCAGCACCTTCTGCCTCACCCATCACAAGCAGAGCCACCGAAACAGGTAAGTGTACGGACTGATGAAATGAGTTGATCTGTTTGGTGGGATGCTATCTGCCTAACTTGTTTCCCTCATGTGTTTGCTTCTTGCTCCCTTGTTAGCAGGTTCTCCTTGCCCGGTTATCAACTGTTCACATTTGAGTTGTCTGTGATGGCTGTCCTGCAGAAGAAATCTATGAGCTTTTCCCTCATGGGGCCTTTGGCTGCCAGCTGCCTGCTTCTCATTGCCCTGTGGGCCCATGAGGCAGTGGGACTGCCCATCACTTCCCACTGCAAGCTTGATGTGTCCAACTTCCAGCGGCCATACTTCACCAACCGTACCTTCAAGCTGGCTGAGGAGGTACACAGGCATCTCGCTCTTCATGTCTACTTGGGGATTCAAGGGGCCCTTGCCATTTTCTCAGAAGCACTTTGTGAGCTCTAAAGTTACACCTGTCTCCACAGGCAGAGACTTTCTATGTCTCTTTAGAGACTTCTTGAGGACCTGATCTTAATTAGAACCTTTGTTTTTCTATTTGGCCTTTAGAATGCATACATTGCATTTTATATATGGAGGAACCATGTGAAAGTCATCTGCTGATGACTTTTCACTTCTCTGTGCACTGTTCTAAACTCACCCACTCAGCAGCTGGCTATTAGACCCTATGAGAAAATACATTTCTACTTACAGGCTTTTCTTCTACATCCTCATCAACCTGGCACTTAGGGTTTTCTTTCTTCCAGGCTAGCCTTGCAGATAACAACACAGATGTCCGGCTCATTGGAGATGAACTGTTCCAAGGAGTCAATGTAAGTTCTCTTAATGAGGAGCAGGGAGCGTATCCAACTCCTGGTTAACTGCAGTAGTTGATGGATCCTGTGTGATGTCCTGTAATGTGACCCCTGCTGCTTCCTTTCTACCTTCAGAGGCAGAATCGATGCTACCTGATGAAGCAGGTACTCAACTTCACCCTTGCAGAAGTGCTGATCCCCCATTCAGACAGATTCCAGCCCTACATGCAGCAGGTGGTACCCTTCCTGACCAAGCTAAGCAACCAGCTCAGCCTCTGTGTAAGTCCTCATCTTGGCTGAATATATCTCCTCTCACCTTCTTCCTTCCTCTCCTATTCCATTTAGAGCGTGTGGCCCCCTCCCTCCTTTCAGACCCCTGGCAGTGCGACTGGCAACTAGGAGGACCTCAGTAACATCAGAGGTCACTTGAAATCAGTCACAAAGCAATTGCTTTGGCTTTAGTTGAGTCATAGTTTGAGTTCATAGGGGTAAGGTCTTAATAGTTCTACCTGTGGAAAGAAAGCAACTTGAGTTATGCTTAATGAGAAAAATGCTGGGAACTGTAATAAACAAGGCCTAGGTGTGGAAATATATCCACTGAGTAGAAGTACTTGGGGGCGGGGAGGGAATGGCACAGAGCAAAAGTCGAAGAAGGAGGTAGGACATTCTCATGGTTGGGGTGTGCATGTGTGAAGCGCACTCTTTTTGTTGGGACTGGAGGTTAAGAAATGTCAGTGTATAAGCTTGATACCCTCAAACACCCTAAACTGTGAGCCATGTCCATGAGGAGTTGGTAGACTGAGGGGACCTTGCCTTGACTGGGAGGACTCACTTTTCACGTAAGAAGCTTCCTGCTCATTTCTCGTGCTTCGTTCCCACCTTTGATGAGGTTGAGTTTAGGTTTCGTTTCTACCATTTTTGCTGCTGGTGGAAACCTCGGTAGGCTTCCCCAGAGATGAGGACAGCTCTTCTGCAAGGGAAGTGCCTGGATTTCAGTGTCCCAGAGAATCTAGGTCATGAGTGAAATCTAGGTCACTGTAGGCAAAAATTACTGAACGTCTCCATTCCAGGTGAATGGTCACGTGCCTCTGATGCGGGGAGGTATAGGCTTTCACACAATGAGATTCTGTTAGTGAGTTTTGTCTTACTTTGCAGCAAATCCGTGGTGATGGCCAGCACATCCAGAAGAATATACAAACCCTGAAGGAGACAGTAAAACAGGTACTACTGACGAGTGATATACTAAGCCATTTAACAGGAGAAACATAGCTTTCCTTCTTTGCCTTTTTTCTCCCCTTCCTCTACTTTGTGACATTTTACTTGATTCTTCTACTCTCTGATCCATTACTTGCTGCATGTGCATCTAGCTGGGTCTATGTATCATTTAGTCTGTTTCTAAATCTGTAAGTCATAAATTCTAGTAGAAAACTTAACTCAGCTAGTGTCATTAGCCTGTGCTCTGAGGACGGCTGGTGGCAGAGTCAATGTTGGAACTCCTGAGTGCCAGCTCAGCACTTCCCCAGCAGTCACATGTATAGCATAATTATTTCATCTGGAAAGTCTCAGTTCCCATTGACTCGTATAATTTGAAGAAGCATGCATTGAAAACCAGAAAGCTGGTGCAAATTTACATGATGTGATTTTTGAGGTCATTAAACTGATGCTCTGAAATGTGACAAAAATCAACCCAGAATAGTAGCAAAAGAGCTTGACTTGCATATACAATGAATAATTTGGAATCACTGATATTAGTAACTATAACCAGAAATATAATATAGTACCTGATAGCTACCGATTTAAGACTAAACACAAGAGTAGATAACCTTCCAATTTATTTTACATGGTTTCAATAGAGTAAAAATATCTATCATGGATTTATTACAGGGAAACATATTTTCTTATATTTTACTTTCACACCCTCAAGAAGCCACTAGTGAGCACTTACCTACCTGCTGTGAGCTAGTGCATAGCTTTACAGTGATCAACACTGATGCATGGCCTCTTTGGGGGAAAGAACAGTGGAGGAGGCCCAGGTCAGCGAGCATGACTCACCCTAAAGCAGGGGCAAGATTGACAGCAGTGAAAGTGAGACTTTTCTGATTAAATTCTCAGAAGCAAAGAGGCTCCGGTTGAAGGAATTATCAGTGCTATGCCTGGCCTTACCACCGTCTTCTATCTAACTTAACTATTTTCTTCTTCTTGAGCACAGTCTGTTGGACATGGCTGTTTTCTTCTGTCTAGTATGAAAGGCTTTGTAGCCAGTTCTCTTGTTAGGGCGTTCACGACATTGACACACAGACTTGGGCATTAGCATGCCGAAGATGCGCACTTCAAAGGCATGTTTAAAAAGTTGTTGTTGTTCAGCCACTTTGTTGTCTTTGGAAAGGTGAAGTGTGTGAGAAAGATCTCACAGAGGATGAGATCTCCACATGAAACTTGCCTGTATTCCACTTTTAATCAATTGCAACTTTTTTTTTGGTCTTTCGAGACAGGGTTTCTCTGTATTGTTTTGGAGGCTGTCCTGGAACTTGCTCTGTAGACTAGGCTGGCCTCGAACTCATAGAGATCCGCCTGCCTCTGCCTCCCGAGTGCTGGGATTAAAGGCGTGCACCACCAATGCCCGGCAATCAATTGCAACTTTTATACCATGCTGCCATGTGGGAGAGTGATTAGGTTCGCTCTGGAGGTTCTAAAGCACTGGCAACAGGGGAAGGAATATTACTCACAGAAAGCTGGTAGCCAGAAGGAACTCATCAGAACTGCCTGGCATGGGGAGGGGCTTTGCTTCTGTTAAGTGGGGACAGCAGAGGGCATGGGGCAGAAGGGATGGCAGAGTCGGGGAAGATAAGCCATAAGATTTCATAGATTTGAGAGTCATAAGTAAGGAACTCTGGGAAGGAAACGTGGGAGGAAGACAGGAGGGGGATAGAGAAAAAATGTGGAGGGCTGCTAAGAGAGGATTTTTCTTGGAACGAGCTAGAAGAAGGATAACAATTAGGCGGATTTCAGGGGAACTTGCTGAGTTCAGGTTTTTGTCCCCCATTGAGCTTGAGAGGTTAAACCTTATCATACTTGAACAGATCAAGAACAAGGGAATGTTATGATTCCTATCCGGTGCTTTGATAGTTAAAGCAATGGAACAGATATGCTTGCCATTCTCTTTACAAAAATGAAAGCCTGTTTGCTCATTGTTTTTCTCTTCTTTAGAAGATGAGCACAGACAAAGCCTAACTATGTGGGTACATGTGTTGGTCTTTGGGTCAAGACTGTTTGAGTTGAGCTCTCAGCAGTGGTGGGTCATGGGCAGGTGTGGGTAATGTGGTAGGTCAAGCCCCAGCAGGGTGGAACTTAACATCCTCAGGTCTCAGTGTGGCTTCCTGCTGTTCCGTATGGCTAGGAACTGAGCAAATCATTCTCCAGTGCCCATTCAAATTTATTTTTAATTGTCAAATAGTTGTGTAATTGGTGGGATACAGTGTGATGATTTACCTATGTGTGTATTGTGCAAGGTTCGAGAGGGCTAATTAACACACCCATCAAGAACTTCATTAGTGAGAAGTGCAAGCCTTACGGAATGCCTGTGGTGTCCTTCGTTCAGACAAGCATGATTCTGAGGTCTTTGGCAAACTGCATTCTGCTCGTGCTAAAAGTGCATTATTGTTGATTATTAATCTTTTAGAGAAGGCTGATACTTGGTTTTGGCAAGCTAACCATGCCATCTCCGTCTAACTAGTTCCTCCTTCAAAAACCACACAAGTCCTCAAATCAGTTTGTCTTCTTGTTTTCACAGCTCGGCGAGAGTGGAGAAATCAAAGCAATTGGGGAGCTGAATCTGCTGTTTATGCACCTGAGGAATTATTGTGTCTGAGCGAGAGAGACCAGAAAATGAATAACAACCCTTCCTCCCTACTAAAAATAACAATAAGAGCCCCCCAAAAGGTCTTTTTTAATACAGGAAGGTGAGATGCTAAACTCTACCATCATTAGGAGATTCTACATGAAACCTGGCTCAGTTGAAAAAGAAAACCAATGTCATGCTGTCTATAAGATCAGATGTAGATTTTCTAACCACAAAGATTCATTGATAATATTTTATTGTAACTGATGATACAAGAGAAAAATAATGTTTTTTTAAAAAAATTGATTATTTCCACAAAAGAGATTACTTCTCACTCCTTTAGAAAAAAAGGCCTATGTAACTCCATTTCCATAATCAGTACTTTATATATATAAGTTTATTTATTATAAGTATGCATTTTATTTATGCCAGTTTATTAATACAGATTTATTTATAGAAACATTATCTGATATTGCTATTTGAGTATGAGAAAAGTAATATTTATGATAACATTATGGAAACATGATATCTTAGGCTTCAATAAACATATGAATATCATAAATCTTCTGTCTTTGTGTTTTCCCTCCTTTAATCAGTAATATCGTCGCCAGCATTATCTAATCAGTCTCATAACTTTATGTTTGACCTATAAAAATGAGGTAGCTATAGTATTATACTGCTAAGGTTTGGCCCCAGAGGCCTATGGTTTTATGTGTGTGGTGTGTGCTTGTGTCTTTGTGTATGTGTATGTGTGTTGCATGTGCATGGTCATGCATATGAAAGCCAGAGACAGATATTGGGTGTCCTGTTCTCTCAGTGTGTGCTGTATTATTTGAGACAGGGTCTCTCACTGAACCAATTGCCAGCAAATTCTAGTAATTCTCTGGTTGTTGTCGCCCACATCACTGAGGTTACCGTCTTGTGTGGCCACGCCTGGCTTTTTATATGGGTGCTGGGGAATCAAACCCAGACCCTCAAGCTTTTACGTTAAACACTCTTACCCTCAGAACCATCTCCCAAGCCCTGCAAAGTGTTCATGAAAGGCTTAGTTTCCAGGATAGTGGTTACTGAGGGCTGACACAGACTTTAGGTCTGGTGGCGATGTTCATGTCAAGTGGGTGTATGCTTGAAGGGGATAACTGTAGCTCATTCTACTTTCTCTTTCTTTTGCATCATGGGCATGACTTTGTTCTGTCATGTACTCACACCATGACAAGTAGTCTGGCTATAATCCCAAATAAAGTTGACCCAGCAAGCCAGAAACTAAAATTTCTGATACTATGATAGGAATAAACCTTATCTCAGTGTAAGATGATTGCTTTTCATATTTGATGCAGTGATATAAAGCTAACGTACACATATATGCTCACACACATACACACTCACATGCTTGCATGCATACACATATACACACACATGCTCCCACACATATGCACACCTGCTTGCACATATATACACACACATGCTCGAATACACACACACACTCCTACATACACATGTGCACGTGCACACACATATACAGACATCCTTATTCTGTGGATGAGAAAATGGAATCAGAGACACATGAAGAAATGTTTTATGAACATAGTTGACCCTTGTTGAAGCAGGTTTATCTGATCTGTAGGCTCTCTTCTGTTTTGATGCAGCATTGAATTCTGAAAGGAAAAAAGACATGGCTATGTTTCACTCATGTTATTGACTGTTTATGACTAAAGCAGAGAAGAGATGCTTGTGAAGAGAAACACATGTAGCCCTGACTTGTGTTAGGTGAGCTGCTTGATTACTAGGTGAGACCTACTAAGAAGGGCATTTCTTAGTCTTTCTAAAAAGAAGCCAAGGCGCTATGCTTGGGTGGGTAAATTTCTCTGACAAGTGGAATTGTCTTTTATACAAGCCAGAAAATGGGGACTATATCATGAAGCATACAAACAGAAAGCTGTGCATATTCAAAATCCATACTGTGGTACAGAGGAGAGAGAGAACAGGGAGTAAAAACAAGGGTTAGACGAGGAGATATGACACCAGCATAGAAGAGCCACCAGGGAGAAGGGAAGTTTTTGATTGTGTGTGTGTTCTCATAGAAAGTCAAAGTTACTAGGTAGACAGAGTTGTTGACTGATTTTCTAAAGTGTTTTCTTTTACAATCTGTTGCCATGAGTCTACTCTCCAGGTCACTTGCCAGTGATTTGCCAGACTCCCACAGCATGAGGTGGTGAGCACTGAGCCTGTGTGTGAACTGCACTTCCTTTGCTGCCAAACCAAAGCTAATGCTTCTGTGCTTGGTCTCTAAATGAGGAGCGATGCAACAAGGAGCAGCTTTATGGTCTATTGAATTGTTACTATTTTTTGATAAGCTGATGTTGTGGTTTGAATGAGAATTACTTCTTTTTTTTTTCCTCCTCCTCCTTTTTTTTTAAAATTTAAGTTAGAAACAAGCTTGTTTTACATGTCAATCCCAGTTACCTCTCCCTCCCCTCCTCCCTCGTCCTCCCCACCCAATCTCCACTTCGATCCCCAGGGAGGGTGAGGCCCTCCATGGTGGATCTCCAGAGTCTGTCATTTCACCCAGGGCAGGGCCTAGGCCCTCCCACAAGAGTCTAGGCTGAGAGAGCCTCCCATATTGTGGCATGGACACTCAAAGTCTATTTGTACGCCAGGGATAAATAATATCCAAGGCCCCATAGATTACCTAGGCCTCCTCACTGACACACACATTCAGGGGGTCTGGATCAGTCCCATGTTTCCACACAAACATCAATCTGGGGTCCAAGAACTCCCCCTTGTTCAGGTCAACTGTTTCTGTGGGTTAAACCAGCCCAGTCTTAACTCCTTTGCTCATCAGTTCTCCCTTTCTGTGACTGGATTCCAGGAGTTCAGTTCAGTGTTTAGCTGTGGGTGTCTGCCTCTGCTTCCATCAGTCGCTGGATAAAGGTTCTGTTTCCCAGACTCTCTGGCAGTGGGATTATATGCTGGCACTACCTAAAATCCATATTTGAGCAAGTACATACCAAGTTTTTCTTTTTGTGACTGGGTTACCTCACTCAGGATGGTTTCTTCTAGTGCCATCCATTTGCCTGCAAATTTCAAGATTCCATTGTGTAAATGTATCACATTTTCTCTGTCCACTCTTTACTTGAGGGGCATCTAGATTGCTTCCAGGTTCTGGCTATTATAAATAATGCTGCTATGAACATAGTGGAACAGACATCCTTGTTGTATGAATGTGCATCTTTTGGGTATATGCCTAAGAGTGGAATTGCAGGGTCTTGTGGTAGACTGGTTCCCATTTTCGTGAGGAATCTCCATATTGAATTCCAAAGTGGCTACACAAGTCGGCACTCTCACCAGCAGTGAAGGAGTGTTCCCCTTTCTCCACATCCTCTCCAGCATAAACTGTCATTGGAGTTTTTGATTTTATCCATTCTGACAGGAGTAAGAGTTGTTTTGATTTGCATTTCCCTGATGGTTAGGGATGTTGAGCACTTTCTTAAGTATCTCTCAGCCATTTTAGAATCCTCTACTGAGAATTCTCTAATTAGTTCTGTACCCCACTTTTTGATTGGATCCTTTGGTGTTTTGGAGACTTGCTTCTTGAGTTCTTTGGAAATTTTGGAGATCAGCCCTTTCTCAGATGTGGGGTTAGTGAATATTTTTCCCATTCTGTGGGCTGCCTTTGTGGCTTGCTGACTGTGTCCTTTGCCTTAAAGAAGCTTCTCAGTTTCAGGAGGTCCTGTTTATTAATTGTCGATCTTAATGTCTGTGCTACTGGAGTTATGTCCAGGAAGCAGTCTCCTGTACCAATTGGTTCAAGGGTACTTCCCACTTTCTCTTCTAACAGGTTCAGTGTGGCTGTTGAAGTCTTTGATCAATTTGGATTTGAGTTTTGTTCATGGCAATAGACATGAATCTATCTGCAGTCTTCTGTATGTCAGCCTCCAGTTATGCTAGTACCATTTGTTGAAGATGCTTTTTCTCCCATTGTATAATTTTAGCTTCTTTCTCAAAGATCAGGTGTTCATACATGTATGGGTTAATGTCAGAGTGTTCAATTTTATACCATTGGTCGATCTGTCTATTTTTGTGCCAATACCAAGATGTTTTCAGGACTATAGCTCTGTAATACAGCTTGAAGTCAGGTATGGTGATGCCTCTGAATGTTGCCTTGTTGAACAGGGTTGTTTTGGCTATCCTGGTTCTTTTGCTTTTCCATATAAAGTTGATTATTGTTCTTTCAAGGTCTGTGAGGAATTGTGCCAGAATTTTGATAGGGATTGCATTGAATCTGTAGATTGCTTTTGGTAGGATTGTCATTTTTACTATGTTGATCCTACCTATCCAAGAGTATGGGAGATCTTTCCATTTTCTGGTGTCTTCTTTAATTTCTTTCTTTAAGACTCAAAGTTCTTGAGATACAGGTCTTTCACTTGTTTCGTTAGCATTACCCCAAGGTATTTTGTGTTGTTTGTGCCTATTGTAAAGAGCGATGTTTCTCTGATTTCTTTCTCAGTCCTTTTATTATTTGTATATAGTAGGGCTACTAATTTTCTTGAGTTGATCTTGTATCCTGCCACTTTGCTGAAGGTATTTATCAGCTGTAGGAGTTCCCCGGTAGTGTTTTTTGGGATCACTTATGTAAACTATTATCTGCAAATAGTGAAAATTTGTCCTCTTCCTTTCCAACTTGTATCCCCTTGATCTCCTCTTGCTGTCTTATTGCTCTAGCTAGAACTTCAAGGACAATATTGAGAAGGTATTGAGAGATTGGACAGCCTTGTCTTGTTCCTGATTTTAGAGGAATCATGTTGAGTTTCTGTCCATTTAGTTTGATGTTGGCTGTTGGTTTGCTGTATATAGCTCTTATTACGCTAAGTTTCTGTTATCGCAGATCTCTCCAATACCTTTATCATGAAGGGTGTTGGATTTTGTCAAAGGCTTTTTCAGCATCTAGTGAGATGATTTTTGTTTCTCAACTTGTTTATTCGGTGGATTACATTGATGGATTTTTGTATGTTGAACCATCCCTGCATCCCTGGAATGAAGCCTACTTTATCATGGTGGATGAGTTTTCTGATGTGTTCTTGGATCCAATTTGCCAGTATTTTATTGAGTATTTTTGCATCAATGTTCATGAGGTTATATTGGTCTGAAGTTCTCTTTCTTAGTTGTGTCTTTGTGTGGCTTGGGTATCAAGGTTATTGAAGCCTTGTAGAAAGAGTTTGGCAAACACCATTCTGCTTTTATTGTGTGGAATACTTTGAGGAGAATTGGTATAAGCTGTTCTTTGAATTTCTGGTAGACTTCTGCACTGAAACCATCTCGCCCTGGACTTTTTTTGGTTGGGAGACTTTTGATGACTGCTTCTATTTCCTTAGA